CGCAATGACTCTTATCGGCCAATCCAATAATTCCGAACTACGATCGCGACGCTCGTGGTTCAGAATTATAATATTTATCGCGCGGCACGCCGCTGTGCGGGACTCCCGCGCATGCGTCGCCCGCCCCCACTCCTTGCGTAGCCTACTTTCCTGCGAAGACTGGACTTCGGACAACGTCGACCGACCCCTGTCGACGGTCGCTAAATAGATCCATCGATCGGAAGTAATTAGGATATGCTAAGATAATGTTTGGCCGAATAGATGTTTGAGAAGTCCGGGGATATTGAACCGAAATACGGAACAGTGATATATAGACTTCTCGCTCCGACTAGGAAGGCCCCGCTTTTATTTTTAATTTCTATCGTGCAATTATTATACAAAGAGGCTTCTGTCGTATTGGATCGACGAGGGAAACGATCCACCCACGGCGCGAATTGATCTCTTATCCGCGGTTTCCTTTCGAATGCAATCATTGCTGTATGCCAAAGTCACGGAACGTTGTGAATCGAGTTGCAACGGGTCTGATGTTATACCATGTATTCTGTATATGTATAGTATATGATACACAAGTATATAGTATATGTATAGAGAACGCGAGAGCTTGATCGCGACGTGACCAAGTACAAATCGAAGCTAGTTTAACACTTTACACGCGCGAGACTGGGCCGAACCTGGTCGTCGTTCTCGCGTGATTACACAATAATTGGTGCGCGTTTGTTTATTCGACATTCAAATCGGCTCGTAATCGTATCGGATCGTAATCGGCGCGGCGGCGACCGCCCCTGTACGATTCGTTCTTTAGAGGCTTTTAAACGACATAGCAAATCTTTCGCCCAGCAAGGATCAATAGAGCTGCTTGCGTTCATATTTGCGATCGCATGCGATACCGTTTCGTGCTTGTTCTACTTTGCGTCGCACAACTTGCACGTTTACATTTTATTATGTAATTTCGACGTCTTTTTATCGGAATTAGCAACACTTCGCTAGTAGCACGAATCAATGTTTAGCGCGGTACACACGGACACGTACACGTACTCTCGACAACACTGCAGAACACACACACGCACACGCAATGCAAACAAGCGCATACACGTGGCCACATAGACGGAAATATACACGGAGTACTCATAAACGGAAGCATACACACGCGCATACATAAAGATATATAATGTCTATATTTCTTTGTACGTTGATTCTACTTCTTTCCTATTTCTTTTTTTTTATTTATGTTAGCTTACGTTTTACGATGTAAGTTGAGTTCTGCGAAGAACGGGAAAATACCATAGAGATGCATACTCGCGTTTATTTACACACGTATATGGTAGGCATATATTTAATTTAAATGGAAAAAAAAACGAATGTGCACATTCCTCAGAAGCCATAATACAAATAAGTACAAGATTGCCAATTATTACCTTAGACGAATTGATATTTCTTTCTTTGATTATTTATGAAAATAAGAAACATTACATATATATATTATATATTATATACATATATATATATACATATATATGTATAAATAAATAAATATATATATATATATATATATATATACATAAATCTATAAATATATCTATGTATATATAAACAGAAAAGTATATATACATATATATATACACACAAAAATATTATAATATATCATTACGTAATCCTATGTTTGGCTTATGCGAGTTAACGATGTAAGTGAAACAAAAAAATTTATGTGTGAATAAAGTTTAAACATGTGAATTGAACCGAGTAATTTTTCTTGAAACGAGCACCGAGGCGACGTTCTTGTCAAAATTTTCGTACGCGTACGCCGCAAGATGTTGTTAATCGGTCGTTGCGCAATTACTAAAGCGAACCGTCGATAAAAGTAAGTAAGTATGCGACCGGCCGAACGAGACTCGAGATCGTTGCGACGAACGCGGGGGATCACGAAGCCGACGGATGCGACACAGCGACACAATTGGCGCGGTTTACCCATCGACGATTGGGACGTACCCTCTATATTTTACATGCGGAAGAATGCACCAAGCGAGATCGATCACGAGATTACCAGATTACTAGACTACGAGATTGCCGGATTAACGATATTACCAGATTACGAGATTACGGGATTATAAGATTAATGAAGTTACCAAAGATTACAAGATTACAGGATTACGAAATTACGGAAATCCCGATGTACGGTGGTTTTGTTTGAAACACGGCGTTGTCACACGGTGTAAAACGGGTTTCACCCTCCGGCAAGCAAGCCCTATTCGCGGCGCGTCGCGTCGTTTCAAACTACGCTTGAAAATCTTCACGCTTCCTCACTGCCACGTCTCTCTATTTTCTGTTCGATGTTGGCACACTAATAGCAATCGGGACGCATCGCCGTCTGATACACGGTCGACGATGTTAGCTGTCATGATAGAACCAGAAATTCGAAGAACTAGTTGGAACGCTGACGACGCTGTTCGGCTCGAACAGCGTTAATTGCGCGTTCCGATAATTTGCGAATCCGAAACGATCGATACAATCCTCCAAGTTTTGAACATTTCTTGCGCAAACAATCGCAGAAGCGAACGTTTCTTGCCCGAAACTATTCTTTCACTGTAAACATCAAAATATAATATAATAACGTCTAAATAATGTTTCGACAATTTTGAACACTTTGACCGCCACGTTACAATCTCAACAATTTCATACAATTAAGTATTCCATCGAATTATAATAATAATAATAATAAATTATATTAACTCTTTGCAGTCGAATGGTGACTCTAAGACATTATTAAAAATTGTCATATCACGTTTCAATATAATTTTGATCATCATATTTGTTTACATTTGAGAGAACGTCGAAAGTGTAACTGTTGCACGAGTCACGAAATTCAATTTCATATGTATAAAATGTCGGCAAAACTGCTTTGTATTATTTTGGATAACATTAGGAAATTGTGGTACATTAGCGTTGCAAATGAATTTCCAAACTTGAGTATTATAATTCTGTCACCCAAGTACTGGTGACGCGGCACAGTCAAAGTGTTCGTCGTTTTTTTGACATTAGATTTACGAAGCACTAAAATCAGCTATTTCCTATTAGCTTATGGAAGTAACAATAAGACGTTCATTCTGATTTTTAACGAGTGTTATTGCAATATTTTTCGCAAGCAACAACTCACGAATGTATCTTTCCAATCCAAATAATCGTAAATTAAAAAAATTAAAAATTAAAAAAAAGAACCATGCTTAAAGATATTAATAAAAGAGAAGATGTACCCGGTGTAGTTTATATTATAGAATAGTGCACAAGAAACGTTCGCACAGCACAAGCAATGCTTTGAAAATTGTTCACTTCGGGAACCTGAATCGCGAATCGGCCACCGATTATCGGAACGCAACGGAAAGTGAAAATTGATTGGAAAGTGCGATCGTCGGTTGATCGTCCGAATGAACCGAGGATCCACGATCCGATGGTGGCGAGACAACAGGCGCGGTGACAGTAGGTACAGTGTTCCTTGGTTAGCGTCGCACGGCTGCCGGGCGAGAATTTCTTATTAGCTGCACAGGGAGAAAAATGCGACGCTAACGAGGGAAAGTTGTGTGGTAATGCCTCGACTCCAGCAAGATTGCCCTCCCTCTCTAAGGAAGCTCTTGTATCCCCGCCTTTTCACTGCGCATCCGACCCGCAGTGAATCTTAGCATTGAGTCGTTAGCCAATCAGAGAAAAGCAATCTCTCCTTCTATTCGCGGTAACGGAGCGAGCCAAGAAGGTTTGCAGGAGTCGAGGTATCGCCAGCGTAGTCGAAATAATAAGTTACGCAAGGAGTGGGGGCAGGCGACGCATGCGCCGAGAATCCCGCACAGCGACGTGGCGCGTCTACCGCGTGACCGTTATACTTAGACTGCGGATTTTATGCATTTATGAGAAAAAGTGAACAGGCCGAGTAGAAAATTGAAAAGACATCGGAAGAATTTAAGGATATTGTTACATTATCTTCAACTTATTGCGATTGTTAAAAGGGAAAAGATATATTTTCATTCAATTTATATCGCTTACAATTAATTTAGACAACTTTTAGTTTGCATAAAGATCCGCAGACCGGTTATAATTCCGAACTGCAATCGCGCAGAGGTCTTACGTCGCATCGCGATCGTAGTTCGGAATTCTAACGTACACCCGGAAGGCGCGCCGCACCGTTGCGCGGGACTCCCGGCGCATGCGTCGCCTGCCCCCACTCCTTGCGTAACTTATTTCCCCGACTACGCCGGTTATCAACTGTAACGGGCAAGCACAGGTAGAGCAACGAGCATCATAGTCTGTGTTACACGTGTTACTGTCCCCCCCATTGTCTGACTGATTGATCAATGTAATTGATTAGAAACCAAGGAATGAGGAATCGGCGGGTGACGTGGCTGTTAATGTGTTGCAGGGGGGGTGGGACGCAATCGGAAGCATGTTGGCGATACAACTGGTCAAGTGGTGATGCAGGGTCCAGGGCGTTTTTCGTGCAGACTCTGCGGAAGCGTTTACAAGCACCTTGCTTCGCTGACCCAGCACCTTGAAGTGCATCGCAACCAGACAACCTGCATCCTATGTCACACCACTCTCAGTCGTAGAACCGACCTGCGGCGTCACATGCGTCTGAAACATAACATGCAATTGCAAAAAACGATCCAGAAGCAGCGCAGCTCGAAAAACGAATTGGACTCGTAGATTTAAAAATGTTGATGCGCCGAGGAACATGCTTCTCGCTCCGCCCTGGTTTCTTTCTGTTTTTTTCTTTTTTTCTTTACCCTCCCGTCGAGTACTCGCGCGTCGATTCTCCACCGGTTTAACTATAATTTTTATATTATATATAATATATATTATATATATACAATATATAATATTATAAATAATATATAAAATAATATATATTATATAATATATATAATATAATATTTTTCCTTTCCGTCGTCGTTTACGTTACGTTACGTTACGTTACGTTTCGTTTCATTTCGTTTCCTTTTCATTCGCGTCGAATACAGCAGCAGCAGCAGCAACAACAACAACAACAACAACAGCGACAACAACAACAACAACAACAAACTACGTCGACCGTTCCCCCGTCTTCTTGAATCCACCTTCGTTCGATTCGCGGGCGACGCTTGCGCGTCCGTCGACTAAATTGCCGAACTCCGCACGCCGAAGCCTAGCACGGAATATAGAGTACGTTTCGTTGGAATGGAAAAGCGATCAACCCTTGACTGGTATTTATATCGGACTCGCCGGTGGCTTCAACATCATTGTGCTTTCGTGTCGTGTTCTATGAAAACTTCGATATTATTTTGTTATATTATACGCTAGCTAGGAATCAAATCGGCAGCGTTTATCTAGAGATAGATTGACGCTAAAAACCTACCGAGCCGATTTTACAATTTATGTTTCAAAGTTGCTGATATTATGCACGCTCTGTGGTAGAACGTTATCGAATAAATTCCTTGACCCAAGCACGCATACATTATAATAAAAATGGCGAAAGTTTGAACGGACACGGATATTTATTTATTAGTAAACGGGGAAACCGCATTAGTTTGCATAGATTATTGAACGAGTGCGGAAGTTGCAACGTTCTTGGAACATGTAGATCTGCGAAATACATCTAAAGTAACGTCTCAAATAGGTCGTTGGTTATTGGAGGTTGTTGTAGCAGTTATTATATTAGCGAAAGTGGTAACGCGAGTTGTTGGATTTGTAGCGCCGAAGCGAGACTTGAAACCTTAACTACTGCACCTATTAAAAGCGGTCTGCGAGACCGCTAATGTTTATCGCGTTATTGTGGACATAAGCATGATAAATGAGAAAGATCGAAATCGATTCTTCTCACTTTGCACATCGGCGATAAAAGGTAAACCAATTTGGAGAAAATCGGTTAAATGGTAGCGAGCGTATTAAAAACGTTTCTTTTTTCTTACAATTATATTAACACTACAGATGACCAAGTAATCGATGCAGTAGTTAAAGCAGACGGGGCGAAATAAAAAACCAACAGCGCGTAAAAGAGCAGGTCAATTGATTTGACCATTTACGATCTTAAAAATAAAAATATAACGGATCAGCAGCCGCTCTTCCGAATGTTAAAAGCGCAAGGTCGAATTTCCACGCAATCGGTTGAATTTATGCGTGCAGTTTTTTCATCGTTATAAAACAACACACGTTAAGTTACTAAAAGAGCTCGGTGGGTTTAACACGTTAACACGTTCTTTGGCAGTTTTCATTCGGTGTTCCCACCAGTCGTCGTTTTCGCGGAAATCGTGTACCAGCGAAGGGTCGAACTCGCCCGGTAGATTTTCCACGAAAAAACTGTCCGTGCGAAGGCTGAACGCGATCGATGCGGAGCAGAATTCGTTTCGCGGTCGCGCGCGTCGAAGACGGTACTTCGGAATACGTCGTTACGATGACTTTCTTCCTGGACACCCGTTGCGTCGCGTGCTCGTAATTGTTGGCGTTAACCGTCCGCCGCGAGGATCCTTGGACTTTCGAAGCAGAATTACGAGGACAGTAACATGAGACTTAATTTATTTATCGTTCGCCGATCTCAGATTCGTAGTGTGCAACGTCCAACAGCTTGCAACGATACGATACGTTTTACGCTGTTCCCTCGACGAACTACCGACGCGAACGACCGGACCTACAATTAGCTCTAACCGTTACGTTTCCTTTCCCCGCTCGCGATTTCGCCGATCGGGGGAGATACACCTTTGTTTCGAACAAAGCGCGAGTTCTCGCCTAGCCTCGCGTACCCGGAACACGATATCTTTAGTTAAGAGTGTGCAAGCTCATCTTCGATTCCGTATCGATTCTAGTCATTAATGTACGGCGCTTCGTTACTGTACGGTCGCTGAAACATCGCCCGATTGCTCTTGTCGCATTCGAAATCGCCGGCGACGACAGATTTTGTCCGATCGATGTTGCGTTCGCAAAGAAGCTTAGGGTATACATATATATATAGTTTCTTGGAGACCGAGAACGACATGATGAAACAGTTGCTCGACGAGCGATCGTTACCAATGACGCGTAAAACGAATATTCTACGTTAGTTGACAAATAAATAGCGTATAGAGACTACATTGTGAGATGTCCATATCAATAGAGAGAAAGAAAAACAGAGAGAGAGAGAGAGAGAGAGAGAGAGAGAACGATAGAGACAGACAGAGAGAAAGAGAGAAAGAATGAATTACAGTGTTACGAACGCGGGTCACGTTATGGAGAAGAAAAGAAAAAAATCAATCGGAATGTTGCACCGACTCTGTTTACACGTCCGTTGTTCGCATAATCGACCTTTTCGTTGCGACCAAGATGGATTTTAGCTGCTTCGATGGAGCGCATAGACAGTGCCTTACACTCGAATAGTTTTACAGATTTACAGTATTGACTTTCCAGATGTTTACCACAGTTGAACGCGTATAAGAGACTATAAGAGAACCGACAATTTTATTCCTTTGTTCTTTTCGCCGGTGGCCTCGTGTAAACATTGTCTCTGTGTGTACGGGATTCGAAGAACATTTTCGAATGCAACAGAATTTCGAGGATCGTACGATCCGGTGCGTGGAAGCTGCGAATCCGTTCTACGGCTACGACCCTTTCGTTGCTTGCGCCCCCCCCCCCCCCTATTACCGAAAAACGCCATTTCCCCGAGAGACTTTCGATTTCGATCGAACACCTTTCGACTCCACTCCGTGGTTTCGACCGTTGGTCGGTGGACCGCTTTCACGGTGCAAGGAGCAGAGCTGGGCCGACTTTATCCCCACTCCTGCGACCTTAAAAGTTTACTTCTGATATAGACCGCTAGGCGCTTGAGGTAACTTCCGTACTATCGTCGAGGGTTTCTACTGTGTGTGTACGAGTGCCTGCGGTGGTCACCACAGTAACACCACTGTAGTAGTATCGCACTTATACAAATGTAATTTAACGCTATGCGAAACACGTGTGTCGTACAATTTTCAAACAGCTGTCGCTCATAACCTAGCGACGCTATCGAGACCAAAAGAATTTTGAGAATATAATTTGAACGTTCTAGAACATCGTTTTCTTTGTTAGAACTCGATATCTCACTTCTAAGTATATTGAATTAACTTTGAACTCTCGGATGACGAGTGCCGGGTCCATTTGGACCCTGATTCACAAACATTCCATCTAAATTCTAATTTTGTGGCGGTCACATGTAGTTGCTAACTATTAACATTGAAACTAATGAAAGGATTAACTCTGGTCTCGACAAAGAGGTTTTAATAATGTACGAATGAAAATTAATCGTAAAGATCTGAACGGATCTAGCACGGATCTGCCATATAAACGCTCGAGAATGTTCGCCGTCCAAAGGTTAATATTATATTTTCGAAGACAAAATGTGGACCCAATTTCGACCCAGCGTGACAGCAGAGGGTTAAGAAAGTGATGTATCGATGAGTACCGATGTTTCGCCAGCGCCTCCCGCGGGAACTCGCGGAAGCGAACTTTTAGCGTCACAGAGATTTTGGGGCGGGGCAACCGTACTCGGTCCACCTCTCATTCGTACGCCGTGGTCCTTCGCATTCGCTCCAACTTCAGTTTCCTCGATGTCGAGAAGAACCAAACGCGAATATTTCGAACCCGGGAGCTCTCGGGTCAACCGAAGAGAACACGAACGCGTGGGATGATCGGAACAGATTTCGGAAAAGCTCGCAGCTTTCTCGCGAGCTTGCGAAAAAAGCTCTCTTTTGTGATCGCGATTTAACGATCGATTGAAAAAGTCGAACTTTTACGTATTGGCTATATTGTGTACCGCTTTATTGCGATTCGTTCGATTTCCAATGATCAACGTTGCTTGAGTATCTTATGCTATAAGCCCTATGTGTACGTTGTTATATTATATCCAATAAATAAACAATGTTTCATTGACGTGTAATTGATAATTACGATGATAAGCAAACAAAATGAAAAGAAGAAGAGAAAAGCACGAGCCTCTTAGAGAAAGGTTTCGAAAGTTCGATTTTTGTTTATGTTTCTCTTTCGATCACGTAGATCGGCAGTGCCGCTGTTATTATAGTTTCGAACGAGATCGATCGATTGTGCGCGCGCGAGTGTACTTTTTTCGTCGATTTCGCTGAATGATGTATGCAAGATGAATTCGCCGGATTATTGAACACGCCGCGCAGTGGTCGATTCGTTTTAAAAATGGGACACGTGTATCATTTCTGTCGGGTAATGACATAACGTTATTATCGATTTCTACCTTTTTTTTGTATTGGTAAATCCATGTGACTTGTTATCAGAGGGTCTAATGTTATGCAAAGCATGACGTTGTTTATGGCTCTCAGACAATAGAACTAAGAGGAACTCGAAAGAACTCGCAGCTATTTTTAGATTAACCCCTTAACTTGTACGCTCGAGTCAATTCGAGCGCGCTAAACAGGCCAAACTGTGCACACTCGAGATAATTCGAGCGGCGTTGTATTTTATGCTGCTATAATTTTTCACATTCGAATATAATCGAGAATTGAAAACAACGATGTGAGAGCAAAGAAAAAAATCGTTTTATTGATATTTATCATTTACATGGGATTGTAAGCTATAACACTTATTTATTCAAGAATAAAATATAGCCTTTTCATGGAACAAAAGCGCAGCATATCAAAATTCTCCACCAAAAGAAAAGTTGAATCAGGGACGGTAACAAATGGAGACCTTCGAGGATGTGGATTTGGTTGGATATTGCTTTATCTATTTCCAATCAACGGTTATATCTTCTTCTGAACTATCTTCAGAATCGCTACTATACTTATCACTTTCTTCTGAGCCGCTTTCCGACAGCGTATTCAGATTCAGATTCTGATTCGCTCATTTTTCAATATATATTTTACTAAAATATAATGTAAAATAAAACGTAATAATAATAATAATAACAACAACAACAATAATAATAATAATAATAATATTCTGAAAATTAGAAATCATACCAATTGTATAAATATCCAATATACTCAATTTTACTTTCTGTAATCACACAAAATGACTGACTGTCTATAAAGATACACTTATCTTTGCGCGCCGTAGGTGCTTTCTTTTGTTTTATATACAGTTTGATACACAAGACTGCATTCTTGCATTTCTGCACTCGTGACGACTGACTGCGATCCGTCGTAGTATTTTCGTAAACTTCGACTGACTACACAATCCGTCATAGTATTTTCGTGAACTTATATATAAAGGCTATTGTTTCTTATATTTTACGATTTAGTCGTGAAATATCAAACACTTGTTTCTCTTCTTTTATAGTTAGACCAAAATCTTCTGGAATTCTACGACTAACGGAACGTCATTTTCCCAGTTTTGTTCCACCAACACCAAAAAAAGAAGCTCCCACAAGATATTGCGCTGTGTGTTGTGCTAAAAGGGATAGCAAAGGAAAAAGGAAAAGAAAAGAGAGTCGTTACATGTGTAATACTTGCAATGTTGGGTTATGTGCTGCACCTTGCTTCGAAGTATATCATACAAAAGAAAATTTTGAATAATTTTTTTAAATAAATACTAGTATTATTATTATTTATGTTGTAAGAGTATGAATAAATATTTTCACCGATAAAAATATGTTTTTTCCGAAATAGCAATTCGAAAAGAAAGATAAAAAATGTCGATGTACGTGTAACATTGCAATATTCGGCTCTTTTCTGCAATGTGNTTGGGTTATGTGCTGCACCTTGCTTCGAAGTATATCATACAAAAGAAAATTTTGAATAATTTTTTTAAATAAATACTAGTATTATTATTATTTATGTTGTAAGAGTATGAATAAATATTTTCACCGATAAAAATATGTTTTTTCCGAAATAGCAATTCGAAAAGAAAGATAAAAAATGTCGATGTACGTGTAACATTGCAATATTCGGCTCTTTTCTGCAATGTGGATCAAAATCCAAAATTAAAATAAAAATTTTGATTATTTTTGTATTTGTTTAATTTTTTTGCCAAGACGATGTTCTAAATTGTGTTTTTCTACATAAAAAAAAAAAATTGATTTTTTTGACCGGTTTTTTTTCAATAAAAAAAACTGCGCGTTAAGGGGTTAAGTAAGAATTCACTGTAACAGATTCCAAAGAAGTTACGTACCAATATTCAAATTGTTTGCCGTATTTCATCCGCTTTCTAGCTAATTCTTCCATTATCGTAATTACACTGCGAAGTGTACGCATTTATGGGGAAAAACTATAGGCGAAACATAACAGTGAAGAAATAGAAAGAAACTAAAAATATTGATGTGTTAATGACAACTTATGAAAATTATTTAAAAAGAGTAACGAGATCGCACTTGGCTCCTACGTCTTGCAATTGACGCAGTCAATTTTTATTTTGCGTACAGATCCGCAGTCTTTTTAGAATCGATTGTGAAACCATTATTTTTGGTTGTTTAAACGATCAGGCGCATGGTTATTTTGACAGAAGAGAAACATGATTGTTGAAAATTTAAGTAATCCCGAATTGTTTCAGTTTTTCCAGTTATTAGAAAAAGTATACGTATTGGACAATAATAAATTTACCTACAGTAACAGTTATCCACTTTATCCAAAACAATTTCTTTCACATTTCTCTACCATTTTCTATGAAAATCGACCACCGCGCGCCGTTCCCTCGACGAGCAAGCGTGTACCGTGCAGAGTTCTTTTCTTCATTTCCCTTGCCGAACAATGCGTTTGTCGCAGGATAAAGCACTTAGTCGTAGAATTACGTAGATTAAAAAGCGTAGTTGTTCGCTGTTAAGAATCGCACGAAGCTTCGATGAAGAGAAAAAAAAGCTAGAAAAACGAATGGGCGCAGTCGAGCGCGTCCGAGAGCCTGAGAAATCGAACGAACGTGTGGGAGAACAAAAGAGAGAAAGAGAGAAAGAAAAAGAGAGAGAGAGAGAGAGAGAGAGAAAGAGCTACTCTTTCCGTGGAATCAATCGCGTCGGATTCGTCGCGTTGTAATTAATCGAATGTCAAGCGGAACATGTACTTGATTGGTGCGAGACGTATTTCTCTTAGCTCGTAATTCTTAGTCAGTAAGGTATGTAGAGCGACGGTGTGTAAGTTTGTATCGTGCCGCCGTGGGATAGGCCGGCCGAGCGATTTCACCAATTTGAATCGAACAGATCTAGACAGAGAGACAGCTTTGGCCATTCTCACGGGCACCGTTTCGTAGTCGTACCGATATCGAACGATGCTTCGTCCGTCGTATCCAAGAGAGTCAGTGCATTTACGAGAAACGATTAGTTTGCAACAAACAAAACAATCGTCCGGCGAGTGTCAGACAGTGTTCGCGAACGAAGCATGACACGGGTGAATAGCACACGCATACACACAGGACAGCAGACAGACACACACGGTATACTATATTATACATATATATATATATATTTCGGTAAGATCTTTTCTTTTTGTTCCGACGCACCGCGTGCCTCATAGTCTCCCAAACTTCTTTGGCTCGCAGCATCCTTTGGAGATCCCAAGAATCTTTGCGCTTTGTCTATCGGGGCGGTGACAGCACTTTCCAAATCGACGATCAAATAATCTAGGGCTTCTACTTAACCAGTTTTAGCTGTTGCCAATCTCTTTGAAAAGCGTGCAGGCTACTTCGATTATACCGTACACGTTTGATTTTTTCTTCGTATTTCGTTCAAATACGACACTTACGTAAAATATCTAATTTAACACTCAGCCAACCGAATGGTGAGATCTCCCGGCTTTGAAATAAGCCGCTGGGGAGACCTCTCTCACTTTTCTCTTAGCAACGCGTTGCCTTCTATACATTGTTGATCGGATCTTTTTTTTGTTATTTAGTTAGACCTGAGTTCTAGTTCACCGCAGTTCTTTACATTTACCTCTGCTACGACAAATATATGAAAGGTGTCGGTCGTGCAGACCAATTATATGTCATACTATAATATTCTTCGGAAATGCACGAAACGGACGAAGAAAGCAGTGTTATATTTCCTCGAATGCTGCTCTTTTTAACGCGTTTTTAAAATCACAAAAGAAAGATCAGATAATAATAGAATGACGTATAAAAAGTTTCTGCTTCGCGTTGCGATAGAATCGATAGAAGAACGCGAATATCAAGATTTAGACATCTTAGAATAAGAATCACTGAACACACAACGAAAAGGATAAGACCTGTCGCAGGATTTCAAGAGGCGCGAACTTGTACCGATCGTGACAGGCGATAAAAAAAAATATCCTCACTGAAAATGTCGAGTACGTTCCGTTAATGGAAAACAATGGGTATACGCGTTATATTTGCCAGTTTTGTAACGTTCCGTTACATACACTTTCCTGTTTCGAACGTTACCACACTTTAATAAAATATACTAAAGCTACATGAAACTTGAAATTATATAATTTATCTGTAATTTTAGGTTTTACGTGAATTAAGAAAATGTTTATTATGTTATTTATTTTTAATTCCATGTTTTGTATAAACTATGTATATAATATAGGATATCATCACCATCGAATGTAGTTGATCGTTTGAAATCAATTTTATCTGTTCTTCGTGGCTTATGAGCGGTAAAGATCTTTTTACAAAAGAAAAACGCGACTGTGGCGCACGAGCGGTTGGCTAAGTGTTAAAACGAGGTTTTTAGGGTAACGTAGCCTAATGGTTTCTTGCGGGGTTGTTATTTCGAAGTTAGACACGTTGTAGGCTCGCAGCGGGCGAACAGTTCGATTGCAAATAACTGGGAACCGAATTTGAACGTTTGGCCGCCATGTTGGGAAACTATGATGTACTTGAACGCGCAGATCGCATAATGCGACCGCCGCAGATACCGTCGATCGTCGCAAACTTTTCGTTTCGTTTCGAGAGATTCTGTTACGTGTACGTACTTCATTGTGAGCTTGTAAGTGAACTTCAAAGGAGAAGCGGTATAAAAACCAAAAAAAAACTATGCTTTGAAATGTTATTACAGCAATGTAAATAAATCGATTTACAATGGAAGCTTCAGTATTGATGTTTTTCACGGCGGAACGTGGAGGACGTCGCGAGAGCGTATACGGTATACAGCGTGCGTGCTTCGGCGTACTTTTAACCCTTAACGGTCGCATTTACCCCCAGAGAACCAAGAATGAACGCCAAGAATTTCCATTAGCAGCGACTGTTGTATTTAACACTAGAACTATCAATATTTTTTTATTTAATTTATATTAATATTTATATTAATATTTATATTAATATTTANCATCCTTTGGAGATCCCAAGAATCTTTGCGCTTTGTCTATCGGGGCGGTGACAGCACTTTCCAAATCGACGATCAAATAATCTAGGGCTTCTACTTAACCAGTTTTAGCTGTTGCCAATCTCTTTGAAAAGCGTGCAGGCTACTTCGATTATACCGTACACGTTTGATTTTTTCTTCGTATTTCGTTCAAATACGACACTTACGTAAAATATCTAATTTAACACTCAGCCAACCGAATGGTGAGATCTCCCGGCTTTGAAATAAGCCGCTGGGGAGACCTCTCTCACTTTTCTCTTAGCAACGCGTTGCCTTCTATACATTGTTGATCGGATCTTTTTTTTGTTATTTAGTTAGACCTGAGTTCTAGTTCACCGCAGTTCTTTACATTTACCTCTGCTACGACAAATATATGAAAGGTGTCGGTCGTGCAGACCAATTATATGTCATACTATAATATTCTTCGGAAATGCACGAAACGGACGAAGAAAGCAGTGTTATATTTCCTCGAATGCTGCTCTTTTTAACGCGTTTTTAAAATCACAAAAGAAAGATCAGATAATAATAGAATGACGTATAAAAAGTTTCTGCTTCGCGTTGCGATAGAATCGATAGAAGAACGCGAATATCAAGATTTAGACATCTTAGAATAAGAATCACTGAACACACAACGAAAAGGATAAGACCTGTCGCAGGATTTCAAGAGGCGCGAACTTGTACCGATCGTGACAGGCGATAAAAAAAAATATCCTCACTGAAAATGTCGAGTACGTTCCGTTAATGGAAAACAATGGGTATACGCGTTATATTTGCCAGTTTTGTAACGTTCCGTTACATACACTTTCCTGTTTCGAACGTTACCACACTTTAATAAAATATACTAAAGCTACATGAAACTTGAAATTATATAATTTATCTGTAATTTTAGGTTTTACGTGAATTAAGAAAATGTTTATTATGTTATTTATTTTTAATTCCATGTTTTGTATAAACTATGTATATAATATAGGATATCATCACCATCGAATGTAGTTGATCGTTTGAAATCAATTTTATCTGTTCTTCGTGGCTTATGAGCGGTAAAGATCTTTTTACAAAAGAAAAACGCGACTGTGGCGCACGAGCGGTTGGCTAAGTGTTAAAACGAGGTTTTTAGGGTAACGTAGCCTAATGGTTTCTTGCGGGGTTGTTATTTCGAAGTTAGACACGTTGTAGGCTCGCAGCGGGCGAACAGTTCGATTGCAAATAACTGGGAACCGAATTTGAACGTTTGGCCGCCATGTTGGGAAACTATGATGTACTTGAACGCGCAGATCGCATAATGCGACCGCCGCAGATACCGTCGATCGTCGCAAACTTTTCGTTTCGTTTCGAGAGATTCTGTTACGTGTACGTACTTCATTGTGAGCTTGTAAGTGAACTTCAAAGGAGAAGCGGTATAAAAACCAAAAAAAAACTATGCTTTGAAATGTTATTACAGCAATGTAAATAAATCGATTTACAATGGAAGCTTCAGTATTGATGTTTTTCACGGCGGAACGTGGAGGACGTCGCGAGAGCGTATACGGTATACAGCGTGCGTGCTTCGGCGTACTTTTAACCCTTAACGGTCGCATTTACCCCCAGAGAACCAAGAATGAACGCCAAGAATTTCCATTAGCAGCGACTGTTGTATTTAACACTAGAACTATCAATATTTTTTTATTTAATTTATATTAATATTTATATTAATATTTATATTAATATTTATATTAATATTTATATTAATATTTAATTTATTTAATATATATTAATATTTTTTATTCAATATTTTTTTCTTTTACAATTTTCCTGACGTTGTAAAAATATTTCTAGGAGAAACTTTTAGGTACGCTTCTTTGTTGAAGTGTATATTATAATATATAAATCATACGAAATTGTAATGGATCCAGTCTTGGCATTGTTATAAAACAATATACATTAGCAGCGTTTAGGGCTCGGTGGTACTAGTGTTAAATGCTGCGAGAACAGTATGAATATTGCATCGTCGACCGACCAAGAGCGTCGATTGTATTCACTAGTCACTGTTTAGTTATGCATTTGACTCTAGATCTATCGTGTCATCATGTTCGTTTGTCGTTCTAGTACAATTTGCCAATTTCAGTGCTAATACACTTATTATTTAGTCGTTGCTTATTTATTCGCTTATTATTTACTCTTAACAATGTTTCCTTACCGGCCAGCGAAATCACGAAATGTACGTATACCCTTAATACGGAAATGAAATTAGCACCAGCGAAGAAGGATAGGAGTTTCATTCGCATAGTTTCAAATGCAAACGTTTGCATCGAGGATTCTGAGTCTGATTCTGACTGTGACAGCGATAACAGCGAAACGAAGAAAAAAAAGTTCGACGTCTTTGAAGCAGTAGCGACGAGAATTACCGATTGGAATAAGAATGTCGATGAGAATTGTTGGGATGACGTTACGGATATCGACAGTGATCGAGATATCTTTCACGAAGGAATAACGAAAGCGATACGATTTTTCCGATTATTTTTTGCCGACGATCCCATAAATAATATTGTATACAGGATACAAATGAATGTGCAAACGATCAATTAACTGCACAGGTTCGAACCATAAGATCTATTTGGAATACACGGAGGAATATTGAAAAGAGAGAATTCCTTGCGGTTTCATCGCAAGAATGAATACCATGCCTCTATTAAACGATAAGTTTGATAAAGTAAATTATATTCCTTTATATAGAAACACGTTTACCAGAGAGAAATTTATTTTTTGGATGCTCCGTTCGAAACAAACCCCTTCTTCCAACAAACGTTTCCAAACACATTTACAAAAGGCTTGTGCTTCCTTCGGCTATAACTTTCTAACCATGGTGTACCGAGTAATTGCACTATTTATTCTATCATTCCTTATCATGGAAGTGTAACGTCGGAACGATTAAGTAATCCAGAGTTACCTGTATATCGTATATAAGCTGCCAGAATACGTTCAAAATTGTGTAAGAAGTCAATGGATAAAACGGACAAGGATATCGTATGTATGCCAATAGGTATTACACGAGGCACAGAATCAGCAACAGAATCGCTGAAAAGGATATATGTCGTTCAACCGGCACGATCATAGTACCATGGAAGAGGTGTGCCTACAGAAATGAAGGAGCTAAAGTTTGCCGCATCGAGGAAACGCAGTTTCTTGTCGCAAAAAAAAAACACATTAATTATTAGCAGCCTGGAACGATAAAACGGGTGGTTACCTTACTCGGCGCTTGGAGTAAAACGGAGATAGAGAAACTGTGACTGTGAAACACGAAAAGTCCTCGACGCATTTGCAGTTCGTTAAAAAATATTAATTTTTCAACTTACAGGTAACATACAGATGCAATCGCAAAGCCAACATAACATTCCCCATATGAAGGACCGACTCGATGGGAGGTTACATATTCTTCGCTCGGGTAAGAAAAATGATTGTCGGGTATGTTCCGACAGAATGAAAGGCAGAAGACGAACCTCTATACATTGCTCGACGTGCATCGGAAATCCGCCGCTACACATTGGCGATTGCTTTGAAAAGTACCACACTCTACTTAACTTCAAGCAATAATTCCATTTAGGAAATAGAAGCTCGATCGTTTTACAACACTTTGGACCAAACAGCTTCGCGTGCTCGACTTTCAGAAATCAAATTGCCGAAGGCTAACTCGGACTTGACAACATGAAAAGTGTATAGAGTCCCCCCCAAGGTGTTAACACCATTGTTTCATATGCAAATAAATCAATTCCATAATAAATACTCTTTCTGTTTCTTATTGTCACAAGTAGTTTCTATCTGAATTCAATTCGATATTCTTTCGGCCCTGCTGACGCATACTGTAATTAAACGGTATCTCGGCGGCTAAAGATTAACTGTCAACAATATCTTTTCGTACTGCTGGCATATAAACTGAAGCAATATAAACGGTCGACCGTTAAGGGTTAATTAGTACTGGCGTCTGACAATGTTGTGCTTACACGTTGCGCGAATCTGGGAACCTGCACAAACAATTCTCAACTAATTTATTGCTCGTGAAATCACCGCTGAGATTCTTAGAAGCTGATCTGGATATCAACGGATTACGAGTGTTTGGTTTTTTTGTTTGTCAAGTTCTATATAGTTTTAGACCAAACACAGGTAATCTCGGATCGAGAGGATCGTTGATCGAGGATTTACAGGAGCAGATCTAAGAGTCTCGGTTCGTCGAAGTCCTCGTTACTTCGTATCGATTTATCGATTCACCAACGAACCAACAAATTGCGTTTAAAACAATAAACACACTGACATCGTTTGCTTCAACATTTTAATGTTTTCCTCCTTCGTTCGAGTTACAATCTTGCATCGATAGGTGAATGGTAGTAATGCACTTAAATGGCTATTGATTATTTTACGTGAACGATGAACGATCGTAGAGTAATTTTGAAAAAAGACACGATCGAAGCATTGAACGGGTCAAAATTCGAATAAGAAATAAATAAACAAAACAAAACAAAACAAAAACTATGTTGTTCGTTATATAGTGTTAGTTATAAGAAGAAATGAATTTATAGAGTTACACGCAAGGACACCGGCATGGAGTTTGCATTCGCCAGGATCATTCTGCGATAAATGCGGTATTTCGTTTACGACGCAGCACGCTCTTCTACGGCACATAACATCGAAACACGAAGAAACACGACCTTCTACCGCGTACTGCAACATCTGCGAGCGATTTTTTAAAACAAAGTGGAGTTTGGCCACTCATAATAGCAAATATCATAGGAACTGAACGAGCACAATGACAGGTCGATCTTCCGTTCGATCGTGAGTTGGAAATTGTGAATTGCAGATTATAAATAGCGAATTGTTTTCGGATCGGGTCTCGTTTCTGTACCGGCTTTCAAAAGTTTCGTATTACCGATAGACCAAAAAAGAACGATACGCATTCGTAGCGCAAACGGATCCTGTCGAGAGTATCGTATCATCGAAACTGAGAAACACTAAGGCTCTACGGATGAATTATTTTATTAAATATTTATTTCAATTCTAGATGTAACCGTTCTTCAATCATATTGAGAAACAAAGATGATCGTTGAGTCCTTGCAAGCACAGCGCGCATGTAGTAACGTTGGAAAATATCTGAATATTTTCGTGGCTGATCTTGTACATTTTTTTTTAACGTTCGTGTCAGCGTATCAAACTGAGGAATGTCGTTATTGTAAGCCTCCCCTCAATGCGAGTACCAAATGCAATACCGATCCACCTTGAACTTTATAGTCTTGCGCCGTTTTGTCGTCGCTCCTAGTAAACAACAGAAAACATTTAGTTGTACTTGTCCTATAGTATATTTTCCCTGATATATCCAAGAAACCATGTTTCTGACCGCGAATCGAATCCCAAAGACACAAATACGTTGCACGGTTTATGCAAATTATATAAGTTCATTGTAATTATAAGATGCATTTGATTCACAAACAAACAAATAAAAAAAAAAACTTGAATAAATAACGTTGAAACATCGTGATTGATGGAACAGGGACATGGACACCGAAACTACTATACGAGTCAGGTTCAATTAGGACAACGGAAAGTCACTTTCCAGAATACGTTCCATCGACTCCAAAGAAGATGAACGCTACAAGAAGATGTAAGGTTTGCGCGACTAGAGGACTGAGAAAGGAATCTCGATACTATTGTGCTTTTTGTAATGTAGGATTATGCGTAACGCCTTGCTTCAAGAATTTTCATACCACTCAAGACTACAAATAAAGCATTCGAGCCTAATTCTCTCTACGAAGAACATGTTTCTTACACAACTGTATAAATATTTCTACTTGCAATTATACCTACATTTGCTTTCCAGAGAATATTAATCGTTGCTGTTGCGGAGGTATACCTTCCTTCTCTTCCACCCTTTCCTTGATCCTTTCTACTTTATCTGTGGGTTCTATATCTATTTCGATCTATGAGAACAACAACACACTCTTGATAACTGTAAGTCTTGCAAGTTTGCCTATCTTTCAACAAAATACTGTATTTATATAATATAACGGTATAACGACACAATGTATATAAAAATGTAAACTCGTTAAATCGATTAGTTATTAACAATACATCAGAACGTCAAGTTTTCTATTCACGAATGATAGAAACAATCTTGCTGAAAAAAATGATCTTGTTACTTGTTTTTGAGATGTACATTGGAAAACATAACAGCACGCTCATAACAGCGAATCAATGGAACGTTTATAATATTTTGCAAATTACTTGCCTCTTTCCCCGTGAGAGTCTGAAACAAGGTTAGAATATACTTTTCATTGGAACTATAGAAATTGTATCTTTAATTCCGCCGGTGATTGTTCTTACCTTCACTTTAATCAACATCTTTCACGTGTTATAAAGTAATCGAGTAATTACTATGAGATTATAAATTAAATATTGACACAAACTTATACCGTGGATCACCTGTGCTTACAGTAAAAAATGCAATTTTGCTATAGTCGGTTGAAGCCAACCATGTCCCCATCTGACGGTAAATTGTGAACTTAAAACCTAAATTCTGCACATATAGTGGTGTCATTTGTGATCACAAATACGTTTTATTGTAGACTAACTACTCCGTGTGTTTTCTTGGCACGCATGATTTTAAATTTTAAATTTCATTGTACGATGTTTATTTAGTATTTTCGTGTCGCATATAACCTTATACAGGAATGAGTACATCATGCACATTACACATGTGAATGAAAGTCCTTAACCACGTGGTAATTAATCTATTTGTACATCTCGTATGTGATTCGAATATCTAATGTGACCTTGACGTTGAACGTTTTAAAAATGTTGATGCTTCGCTATTGTTTTCAAGTTTAAACTTTAAAGTCGAATCAACTAGGGGTCTACAGGAAGTATTAGATATGGGACTGGTTTGTCTTAGATCCTAAGCTTTAAGTTTTAGAGAGAAGAAAAGGAACGAGTACGCATCACAATCTTCATGACCATGGTCAAGGTTTCTGTAATCACCCAGAACCGGAATTGAAGATTTGTCCAGCCTGGTGGCGCCAGGAGAATTAACAGTTTTTGGAGGCGTACCTTTATTTATACAGGTGATTGCATGACCATTGATCGATCGCACAGATGTGTTTACGAAAATTTCTTGGGGCATTCCAAGGTTATAATACAAGTGGAAACGAAGTATCTGTCGTAAACAAGATCTATTTGTAATTTACACTAATACACTTTCTTCACACTCCAATGAGATTTCATTGATTGTCATTCGTAAGGAGAGGACGCTGTAATCAGTCTTCATTTTTAAGTAAGAGGATCAGCAACCTAAATCATTAATTTTTTACCGCGTCGGTATTTCAGATCGATTGACAACGGATTTCGCATGGTGATTAGTCTATTTCTATATCTCATTTGTTTGTATTATTTTTGTATACATTGTTCATTATTCAAATGATTACATTCCACCATTCATACTTTCATACAATTAAACATGTTGAATTTGTCAAAGTTATTCGTCGGTATACATATTACATTTAAATGCAATTCCAATCATTGTTTTTACAATCAATTAAATAACATTTACTTTGAATTGAATAATACATATTCAATACATTTCTAACTTTATCTTAGGTTTATGAATTATGATTACAAGTAATATCACACATTGTACAACATATGTGGAACTGGTACATCGAGATAAGGACACAGTCGTTGGCTGTAGAGTTTCTTCTTAGAGCATAAAAGTTCACAAATACTTCAATACTTCACAGTTTTAATTTTTCTTCTTGCGCAATAAGTTGATTCTTTATTTTTTGCAGAAGCTCTTTTTTAACAGAATCTGGCACAAGCGTCCTTGCTTTGGTTGTGACCACGGAAAGTAGCTTATCATAAGTAATATCGTGGCCATGTTCTTTTATTAATTCCTTGCAGATTAATTTTACTTGATCCCTCCAACCACACTCAACCAAACGACGACGTAATAATTCCTTCAATCTAAAACAAAAATAGCAATATGGTAAGTTACTATTTTTGTACAACTAGCTGTAACAATTATGAAACATTTACAAGATTAAGAAGATAATACACCGAAAGCGTCGATTTATTGAATTAGTATTTAAATTATCGAGATCGTAACGCAACATTGAAATTGACAATCGATAAAATAACAAATACAAAGGTACTTACCCATCGCGATCACCAACCATCACTAGCCTTTGGTGCGGAGCAGTTTTCATTATGAATTTTTACTTGATTCACTTGACCTTGTTCAGAAAATTCAAGTTCTTCGAATTTTGTTGAGGAACAACTGCTTCGACAAACCCGGCACGCTGCAATAACAGAGAAGGTTATGTTGGGTTTTGTCTTGTTTTTCAGAACCATAACCTAACTTCGTCGTGCTCCATTTGCAAATCGTAAAATAACCAAGAAACAGTTCTTCTTTGAAACCTCATTAACATTTTTCTATAAGCGAATATTCTTCAGTTATAAGTTGACGTTTAATTTTGAAGAATTACATTTCCGATTGTATTGGTAGAATCTGTAGTACGGCGAATTTAATAGCATCGAAAATGTATCTACAGTTATATTCAAACATAAACTAGGATTTCTATCTAGGGTATCATTATATTATATATTAATTTATTCGTGTAAGTTTATTTGGTTAAAGTAACAAATGTGTTAAAGTTTAACTATTTTTTAGGAAATGGTTTCTGTAAGGGTGATTAATTATATTCCATTTAGGAGACTAGTAGCTGTCTCCAGTCTATCGAACGTACGTATTTCTTCTCATTACAACCCAATGTGTAATGTTTCACAAAGCGTATCGTACTGCACAAGGAAAACAGTCGTGAAGTCCAATGCCAACGAACAAGATAATAGGGTACAAGTTGGATTTGCGGAAGTAGGTAAATTTCATACAGGTATCCCTTTAAACGAGTCATTAAGAAGTCTGTGTTTCTTGATGTCGTTTGTATTTCAGTTAAAGAGAACACAAAATCTATTGGATATTTAAGCGTAATAATTGGTGGCATAGCGATCACAGGTTTAATGTTTTATATGATTTTCAATGAACTATTCTCCAGTAAAAGTCCGAATAACGTTTATAACAAAGCGTTGGAACGTTGCAAAAAAGAACCTAAAGTGATAGATGCTCTCGGAGAACCTATAAAAGCTTACGGAGAGGAGAATCGTCGTAGACGTCGTACACACGTTAGGTAGGTTCTTTTTGTATTTGCTTTAATCTTGCTTCGTTCAAACCTAAAATTTTTACAGTCATGCTACGTTTGTAAAAGACGGGGTGCAGCATATGAGAATGCAATTCTACCTTCAAGGTATAAGGAGACGCGGTACAGTGACATTAGAAGTACAAGAAGTGAGTAATTTCCGTGCGATTCCACGTATTTTAACCGTGTCTAACATGTGCAAATTGATTACAGAACGAAAAGGGCAATTACGTGTACAGATACCTGTACGTATTAGTGGACGACATAATGCAAACTACTATAAAGATAGAAGACAATAGAGCCGAATACAACATCCCCAACCACGATACGAGCTTTGATATAAATTGATATTTCCCACTCGCTCGAGTAGTCGATTTGATACGTTGTATACAGATGTGTTTGCAAGTAATCATTTGCGGCATTTAATATGAATATTCTTTTGCGAATAAAACCGTGATACTCAGGAAGAGAATGTGTTGTGTCTATTTTCGGCTAACGATATCTTACAATAGTCACGACTAATTGCGTATCCGATGCACGCCGCGGTTAGTCCCCGCCGAGGATATGACTAACAATTTTTCTTTTTAAAGCGAGCAACTCATTGAATAGTTCTGCTTCGGAAATTCACGGAATTCACGGATGGTTTTGTTTCGATGAAAGTCTTATCCGAGTCTGAAGTTCAAATGAGTCAACACAGAAAATGTTTGCGCGACCAATGGTTTTCCGATAATTTTCCTCGATGAGACCACAGAGGAAGGAGAGCCTCGTTAGAATATGCCTGCCCACGTAAAAAAGTGCAGGCATCGTAGCCGTTAGCAGTCGCCTAAAAATTAAACGAAGGTTGAGCGCGGGATCTCGACAGTCGCTCATCAACTTGCGAGCAGATCGACGGAACGCGTGGTCTCGATCGGTTCGCGGTCGCGCTTAGAATGCCTCGTGATATCATCACCGGTTAGTCCATTTACCGGTGCTACCAGTTCTCCTTCTTTTTTCCATTTGTCATCGAACAAGGAGCGATCGGATAAATCGTTGGTCCCGCGAAAGCAATTCGAAATTGCCGTCGGCATCAAGGAAATCGTCCAGAAGCAGCGACTTTTTGCGCGCCGATGAATCGGTTGGTCTAGCTACACCAGATGCCCTTGATCGAACGATTACCGACGCGGGATCCAGGATTTGCTCTTTAGAGCAAAGCCGAGCCGAGACCAAGATCATCCACGCGACATCCGACGAATCGATAGGTGCTCGGATCCCGGGCGCGCGACGCCGCCTTGCTGTATCTGCGCAAGCGAGAACTTTGACGGTTGTCGAGATGAGCGTGAAAACGCGCGAATGCCAGACGCAGACCGCGTACGCGTGGACTTGAAACTCCGAACACCGACGTCAGGAAAAACACCTGTGGAGAACGACCGCCACCGCGGATTTATCATCGAATCGAACAAACCGATCCGAAATGGGCAAGTGCGGCTGCTCGATTTTCTCGCGATTCAGAGCCGTCTTCAAACCCCAAACCGATGCAACAGATGGTTCGTCGGGTGCGACCTGCACCAAACCGGAGTGCTTGCCACGTCCACCCACCGTTTCAGGTAATTTTCATTTTAAATAACAACAGATTATCATCTAATTCCACCACGATTCTCGGTTAATTTGCTCGTGGAACTAATACAAACGATCGAACGTTCTCTTCCGTTTAGCTGGGATCTTTGTTCGATATTTATATCGAATTCGTAATCTCACGGTTAAAACTATGCGCGTGTTCGCTTCGAAAACGTTAACTTGAGAGCAATGGAAAGAAACGATTTATGGACAGATAAATTGTATTATCCTCCTTACGTTGACCGCTGTCTCAGACAGAGCCGCACGCGGTTCATTCATTATAAATACCAACATGTGCAGTCTCGAAAGTGGTGGTTACTGAACGAAGAAATGTTTGAGCAATATATGCACAGCTGACAAGATAGAGCAGAGAGGATAAGCATAATTCTCACTCGTGAATTTTTTGGTATTCGATTATTATTATTATTACTGTTGACCGGAGATACTAAAAGGCATCCTCCATTTTTCGAAGTAACGCGACACGCCAGTCGGTATCTTTCTTTCCACGGTTATCGATAACCCGAGAAGTCAAAAGCCATCGTTTATACTTCTATTGCTACGATTTTTATCGAAACTGATAGATAAGCATGCTGTCCGATGACACCACGAGGTCAAACACGAGGTGCACGATGGAATTTCAATTTCCGCGGGCCTCTCGTCCCGCGCTCCTAGAAATGCCCTATTCTTCACCTGTCCGCCCGGTTCGTCTTTTAACCCGATTAACCTGCAACCGAACAAGGTTAATTGGCCATTTTGTTAAACGATATCACGGGCAGACGCGGCGCGAGGAGACGCGACGAAAGAAAGGGAACCGTACCGATGTAATTGTAGGGTCAAGCGAGTCGCACCCGAGATAAAACATCGCCTACGCTTTTCGCTCTGGCGCCGTGTCCCGGCCGATATCCCCGGCAAACGGATGGTCGGATTTCAGAATTTTCGTCGAAGCGAATGCAGCAATTTGGCAAAACAGGGCGCGGCTGGAGATCTCGTTGAAGACTCTACTCGCGTTACACGTGGCGGCTAAAATTTCACACACACACCGACGCGTTTCAAAAGCGATATCATGGGAATGGAATGTTTCATTAAGAGGCTTCTATTAATACACGTTTATAGTATTCGCTTTGGTAACTGGTAGCGGTCGGTACCGCGGCAAGGTTTTTCGAAATTTTCACCGCGGCGCCGTCACCTTTTCGTTCTTCCTGTTCCGTGTTGCGATAACGCCTATTTTAAGCAGCCCCGTGGCTCTATACCCGATACCCTCTCGACAACGTGTTTCCGATCATCTTTTCTCGGAGGGTTTGCGTAGCGCACCGAAATGCCGGCTTTTCTAGCCGGTGACGTCAGCCGCGGCGCACCGCCGCGTCGCCCAACTGTAACATCTCGCTAATTTGTTAAAGGCGCGTCAAAGTTTCGCCGAACAAAAGTTTCGACATCCTCGCAATCCTGACTGTGTCAACACGGGGCTCCGCGGCGGCATTCTTCTCGTTCGCATTGCCGGACGCGAGCGTGTCCCCGAGGCCGTCGTGCCGAAGAAATGTATTTTTTAATCTTGGTCCGACGGGCACGAAAACCGCGCGAACAACGCGGCACGAAAATTTCTGGCCGACGATACTTCACCAAGGAAAATAAACACGGGTCCGCGGCCAAATGGGGGATCTTCGCCTGTGGCGCCGCCGTCGCGGACGATGCTCTGCTCTCGGACGCGAACTCATCGATTTCTCGTCGATCGCTCGCAAGTTTCGCCGCGATAACCTCAATTCTTTCCGAGTTCTGTCCTTAGAAACCACCGACGACTCTTGCTCGCGAGAAGGAAGGCGAATACTGCAGCGTCTCGCATACCGCTGTATTTAGCAAGCCTCGCGACACCGTGAATCGTAATGAATGAAAGTCGTGTCGCGCGAACGGTGCCTTGACCGTTGGGCAAACGTTACGTAATCGCTCGTTGTGTAAACAAGTCGCATTATTCAGGCATTTCCCGAAAGGCGCGCGAAGTTCCGCGCGCTACCGGTTTCCCGGCCGATATCGATCCAGCGATCGCAACATGCTCGCGGACAACGTCGCGGGGACAGGACCTGCCTTGCGATTAACGCGCGGACACTGCGATTTGTTACGAGATGGATATCTTGCGAGTTCCGTGTTTGTTCGAGGCCCCCCGGCCATCGGCGTTTCCCGCCCGATACGCTAATAACAACACCGCGCGCGCGCGCATCGACAACCTCGAATGCTAATTTTATGCAACTGTCGTTGTTCGCGCGCCGAGCGAAACTCGTCGCGCAGGCCTACGATCGAGCGTTTAGCGCCGCAACGTTCAGCGTTGTCGCGCCGATTCCGATTTCGTTCTCTCCCCTTGAAGCAGGTCGCACTCCGATCGCCTGAAGAGAAATGGCGGAGAGTACAAGGGATTCAGGTTCACTCCGTCCGCGGTATAGTATTCTCTGCGTAACTGTCGAAAAGATCTCTATCATAACTGATGCAATTCTATATGAATATTTTATTATTATTATTTATTTATGGATTAAATAAACATTACAAAGAACACGATTTAATAACAGATTACAGTTACTCACAAAATTGAGCGTACACCTAAGTTGGCAACAATGATGATTGATGGGAAAATAAACGAAAACGGACATTTTCAAAGGTGAAAACACAATATATGCTTTATTTGGATATTTCAACAGGTAATTCTTTAAAGGAAAATTTAATGCTAAACGTAAAAATATATTCATCTCGTCGTTACATTATATTATACGAAAAGAACGAATTCAAACGTAATTTTGATATTTTGTTCCGTAACTTTTTGCATTAATAATTACTTTTGAACGCCTAGGCATCGACTCGACTAGTTCTTTTGTTGTTAAACATTGAATATTCTTCCATGCCTTTGGTTTGTTTTTATTCTCTTATTTTTGAATTTATTCCATTTATGCGGGATTACTCTTTGCAGCACAGGCGACACAAAAGCAAAATCACGCGAGTATCATTTTCAAATGGTTAGAAGAATATAGAAGGAACAAGAATAATGATAATAAGCGAGTAAAAAGGACGCAAGTATAGATACACAATACAATGAAATAAAACACGAGACAAAAATCGAGGAGTGAAAATACAATAAAATATAGATACAGTGAAATAAAAGAAATCGAAAGGAGAACAGAAAATCGGAAGAAGGGAATCGAAAGGAAACGCAGTAAACTCTACCATAACTGTCGCTCGGCAGACTCGAAGTTAGAACAGTTATGGACTGAATGACTATACTGCATCGAATGTCAACGATTATTAAACACTGAGTTGTTTGCTCTGACGAAAGTAGCAGCGCACGTCATCGATCGTTGCGGATAATCTGGATTCTCGAACGATTGTGCGTGCACTTATACTTAGAGCTGGAGCGGATCCGTGGAACAGTTCTTGTAGGCGTGTTCGTGTCATAATTTCTAGGCGGTCGGCCGGCCGACTCACCGAAACACCGTCGGTTTCGTACGGAACCGGTTCGAGCCGATCGAACCGCTGCTGGAGTACTTTGTAACGCTACGTCGTCGTTTGACACGATATTTATTACATAATTAGCCGGCCGGCCGACTATCGCACCCGTAATTACGCGATTAATCAATATTTACCGCTGATCGAGCCAGCGGGATATTATAATCGCGTTAATGGATTATCGTGGCGCAGAGTGGCCACAGCGACGGAGACTCTTCCGATTAGTCTTCGTTCTTTCGTCTGTCTCGCATTTTTTCGCCCGTCTTGCTTTCTTACGGTCGCGGTTCAAGGACCGATTTCGACTAGATCCGGCGTTCGGAGCTCCGTGATGCGAATCGTATCAAACATGGAAATCCCGGATGAGCAGATGCGCGATTCTCGCTTATCCGTTCGACGATCGGATGAGTCGTTGCCGCAGTCTTCGCCCTTTCACGTTCTCCTCGGTAAGTTGGACCGCGATTCTTTTCTTCGAATTCGTGATACTTTCCTTGAAATTGTTTGATTTCTTTATTTACGGGCGAGATAAACCTTCGGCTTACAATACACAGGGATTGCAGAATTTCGTGCGAACGGCGTTTAAAAGAACGAAGAGATTGGAGACACACAATTGGAGACTGATCGCTGTGCCTTTGGTTTGTTTTTATTCTTTTATTTTTGAATTTGTTCTGTTTATTCGGGATTACTTTTTGCAGCACAGGCGACACAAAAGCGAATGATGATAATAAGCGAGTAAGAAGGACGCGAGTATAGATACAATACAATGAAATAAAATACGAGACAAAAATCGAGGAGTGAAAATACAATAAAATATAGATACAGTGAAATAAAAGAAATCGAAAGAAGAACAGAAAATCGGAAGAAGGGAATCGAAAGGAAATGTAGTAAACTCTACCATAACTGTCGCTTGGCAGGCCCGAAGTTAGAACAGTTATGGACTATTAAGTTTATTAAGGGGACATGATCATAGTCGTAAGATGACATGGGGAGGCCCAAACGAAGGGATATTAGGCGCAGAAATCGGTGTTGAGTTTCAATCAAACATTATTGGTAAAGTGACCAAATAGCAGAGCAGTACTCGGGACGTGAGCGTGCACACAAGTGTAAAGTAAAGGATAATTGACAGCACAGTGAACTCTTCCTAATTGACGCTCAGCTTGTAAACAAAAATGGACAAGTTGAAGAGAGGAGAATGATTATTCGAGCCTTGCGGCCCGTTTTATAGTTACCGATTGTCAGCAACTATGAAAACGAGTCGCAAGCCTCGAATAATCATATCCTCCCTCTTTCCAAATTGTCCATTTTTGTTCTCAAGCTGAGCAACAGTTGGAGATAATTTACTGTACTTCAGTGGCTAACAAAAGTGTTCGTACACCTTTTAAAACGCAATAACTTTTTCAAAACTCGACTAAACGATTTGAATTTTTCTTTTAGATGATAATTTTTAGATGATAATTTTTAATTTAAAGTTTTGCTATTACTTGGAGTGACAAAGGAAAATGAAAAACTGTCGTTTTTTAACTTTTTTATCCGAGCCTATAACGGAAATTTAGAAAATGCCTCTCGTAGATCTCGGTTTTAAAAACGAGAGTTTTTATTTTCTTTCGTCATCTCAGATAATAGCAAAATAAAAAAAAGAAAAGCATTTTAGTCATCGTCTAGTAGACCAGTCCCTCTATCACCTAAAAAAAGATACAAGTCACTCAGACCAGTGTTAAAAAAGTTATTTTAAAAGACGCACGAACACTTTTGTTCCACTGTATGCAAATGAATACATTTCAAGTATAATCATCGAGACATTATTGCTTCCGTGTAGTAATCGGAACCCATGAAGCGAAACTTGCTTATTGCAATTGACTCGGACACGCGGATTATACACCTTTGAGCTTGATCCCATCCCTAGTACTCGGCCTCCGCGACTTTCCACCGAGTCGCTGATCGAACAAACCGGCGCTTTGGCGAAACGTAAGCGCTTACGAGGAATCGGCGTGTCCGCGAAGCAAATGACTCGTTTAGCGTCGGCAGATAAATTACCAGGCATAATTGACAGAATGAAAAGTAGGCGACACCTACTGCTACCAAAGTCATCGATGACACCATGTATGGCCGCGCACGCAGATGCAGAAACGGCCTTGACGGCTCTCCTAGAATGCAGCAACCCAACCGACGCGCACCTCGCTTAATCCCGACCCCCGGCGACGCGTTTCCTTCCTCCTCGCGTTTTCGCAAGACGAGACGCCGCGCCGCGGAAGCGCGATTTGTCAGTGATTTCGCGGAACTCCTGGACGACATCGAAAGACTTCAACGCCACTGTCATCGATGGACTCAGTCTTTCGTTCGTTTTCATGGGACGACGAGCTTGCCGTCGCCGATCCTCGAACAATGTTTTATAGATTTTACGATCGCTACCGGCCCTTCAACGAGGCCCACCGCTTCAGGCCGTTCCCGTACCGGTTCTACTGTGAGTGTTCTCGATTTCCCACCGTCGCCGATCATGCTACAAATTCTTTTCACCCGTCACGCATTGTCACTCGCGTTCATCTGTCTAAAGGCGAACCTCCGCGAGATCCGCGAAAACTTTTCTTCGCATCTTTCTTTTTTACTTCGCTATGCATGTAGATTCGGTAGAAAATCTGCGTAAACTTTTTAAAATGGTTGAACTTTTTTAAAATTGTGGAGCTGTTCGAAAGACTAGTTTGCTAAGCGGCGAGCAAATAATCGGAACCTAGAATGAACATTTGCATCTTGATCAGCTTATTTGCACATCGAACGTGTCATCGAAATCGGTTTCATATTTTTATCGATCAAAAAACAATGAGAAACAGCGAAAATCGCAGTCTTCCAGGATCTTTGATCGATAACCGTGAGAAATATTCTGTGCCAACTGATTTACATTATGTAAATTAATATATTAAATTAATATATTAAATTAATATATGTAATTAATAAGTAATAATAATTGACCTCGATGAAGTTTTCGATATGCGTGTATCAGTGTTTTATAATCGTAGTGACGTAAATTACATTTTCCTCATTGCGAGAAACAAGGTTTGTTACCGTTTATTAATATGTTGTGTATTGCTTATTAATATCTGTATTGTTTACCGATCAACTTTATTGTTAAGATAATTTAGAGCCAAGTTATCTTGTACCAAGTTTATCATTTACTTCATTTGTATTTTAAACATTTTGGCATATACAGATTAAATCTTAATACGCGAGTCAACATTTTCGAAAATGCCATCTACGCCACTATGATTCTAATCTATTTATATGTGCGTCGGTTATGTAATCTCGGTGGCAAAACTGTTTCTATTAGATTAGTAGAGAGGTTCGACGCGTAAATAGCTTCATTTAACCAACATCTACAAAGCGCGATATGTAAATTTCTTTACACGCTCAGATAAAACTGTTTCGACGCATTATTTTTCAATTGTTTCATGATTCCAATCAATTGCAATTTTTGCACAATATTTATTCGCATATCGACTACTAATTAATACCATGCTATATCAATGCCATGTATTTTTTACTAAATTGGCGCATTACCCCTAACCTGTAAAACAAACGGATTCTACTAAATTTTAAATTCAATCTACGCAATTTTATAAAAACTTCATAATTCCAACAACTTGGACGGTAGACATTTTTGAGTAATTATAGCTGCCTTGGCTGGATCCATTGAAATCTTTACGATTAACATTCACTTGTATGTTTTTTAAACCCGTTTTATCGAGATCAAAGTTAATCCTTTTATTCGACTCGATGCTAATAGTTGATAATTACAAATGACTGCCACGAAATCAGGATTTACATGGAATCTTTGTAACTAATTTTAGACCAATCAAACGAATCCTCGATGGTTCTCCATCTAGCTGAATTTAAGGGAATAATAACAAATCTATGTCCTTCGAACATCTAAAAAAAACGTTCAATTCGTTCGGTCCGATTTTACAAAAGTTATTCGAAAGTTTTACAAAGAGTGAACACACGGACATTTTCTATCGAGAATAAGTGTACTGTATTGTTTCGATGCTGGCCGTTCATCGTTTGCTTGGACGATACTAAATGCGTTTGCCGCGTTTAGGGGAGGATTTCGACGTTCCCGTGTTGACGGTCGCGGACGTGGATCCGTGTCTGGCGGAGAATGGGACGAACCACAGGACATCCAGATACGATTTGATGGCCCGACAGGACGACGATGCCAGGCTGGTCGTCAGACGCGGCCAAGAATTCTACGTGCACCTCAGCCTATCGAGAGACTACGACCCGAACATCGACGGTATCTCGTTGGTGTTCACGGTGGACGGCGTCGAGAAGCCGCAGCTCGGCCACGGAACGCTGGTCCCAACGCCGGTCCTCTATCCGGGCGACGTTTCCGACGGACCCTGGCGAGCCACCATCGACGCGATCTCAACCAATTTTCTTCGTTTGAAGGCAAGCTTCGTTACGCCGACGAAATCATCGAGCCGATCTCAACCGTTCTTTGTCTCGTGCCCGTAGATCGTTCCAAATGCGAACGCCATCATAGGGAAATGGAGGATGGACATCGACACCAGGAACAAGAACTTGGACGGAGCTGTGAGCTTCTCGATGAGGCATCCGTTCTATCTCATCTTCAATCCGTGGTCCGAAGGTAATTAAACGTCGACGATCCTTGCCAACGGTTTTTAGGAACAGCGAAAGTTAATTAAGAGGGTGGGGGAGGTTCGTGCGAAACCGTGAAACGGGAGGCGATATTCGGCAATTTTTTAACAACATAAAATCTCGATGAAATTCATCGCCGTTTTGTACATATATTCTTTAAGATTTCGAGACACAAAATGTTTTTTCTTCGTTAGATTTTATCGACTTTTAACGAAACGGTACATGTTAATCCTTGCGGACCTCCCCGTCGAGAGAGCAGTCCAGCATTTTTTCCTTTGATTTAGAACGAGAAATCAAACGACATTTGACATCCTTCGCAATAATAATCATTTAAACTATGTTCATCGTATAATTAAGTTAGAAGTTTATGGCAAAGATCATTTCTTTTTGCGTCTAAAGTCGCGTATAGTTTATACGGTGATATATTTGTTCAAAAAATACATTTTTAACAAACGCGCAGATTAAATTCGAAATGCAGTAAATCGCGGTACGTACAATAAAAAACCCTTTAGGGTGCAGATAATTTGACCAGTTTATGACGCGACCGAAAACGAAACTATCTTAGCAGTGACCATTTCCAGCGCATACAATTCAGTATTTTAGATAATGCATGTTCCTTTTCTTCGGAACGTTTTCTTTTCGATTTGTCGTGCTGCTTTCACTTTTATCTAGAAAAGAAAAACAACCGTAACAAGTAATTCTTGAATCGAAAAATTGAACGACATTTTATATACAAGGCGTCCCAAAATTATGGTATTTCCTTACCGAAAATGCAATCCGCGGCTTCGTTTACGAATTATTAACGAAAAGACACTGACCAATGAGAGACGACTGGCGCAAATCTGCCGAGCCAATGAACAAAAGGCGGATCGGTCTGCCTTGCGCCAACCGATCTCGCCTCCTATTGGTTATTGGTGAATAACTCGTAAGCAAAGCCGCGGTTTGCACCTCCGCCGAGGAGAAAGTTATCTCGTACGACTTCGGCAACCCCTAATTCCCAGGAAATACCATAATTTTTGGGACAGCCTGCATAAATCGACGCAAACGAAAAATATGATTTTGCAACGTTCCAGAGGACGCGGTGTACCTGGAAGGTGAGGATCGCCGGCAGGAGTACGTGTTGGCCGAGGACGGGCTGATATGGCGTGGAAGTTACAATCGGCTGCGGCCAACGGTGTGGAAGTACTCGCAGTTCGAGCAGCACATATTGGACTGCGCGTTGCATTTGATGACCAAAGTCGGGAAAGTTCGGATCTCGGGCCGAAACGATCCCGTGGTGATATCCCGCAATTTGTCCGCCGCCGTGCGTATCCGTCGAATCGCTTCCGGCCCGATTATCTTCGATCGATTGCGAACGATCCCTCCGTTTTGATCGCTTCAGGTGAACTCCCCGGACGACAACGGGGCGGTGATGGGCAACTGGTCCGACGATTTCGGGGGCGGCACGCCGCCGACCAAATGGCTCGGCTCCCAGAAGATTCTGCAACAGTACTACAAGACCAAGAAGCCGGTCAAGTACGGACAGTGCTGGGTGTTCGCCGGGGTGCTGGCCACCGTCTGCCGCACCCTCGGAATCCCTTGCCGCGTGGTCACCAATTATGCCAGTGCCCACGACACTCAGAACAGTTTGACCGTCGACTACTTCGTGGACACCGAGGGCAGAGTGATGGAGGAGCTCAACAGCGACTCGATATGGCGAGTAGATAGAGAAGCGTCTTTAAACCGATCGGTAAACCGCGGCTTTTCATGCAACACATCAATCGTCTGCATTCGGTGCAGCGGACAGGAGTCAGTTAGATTTCTTATTTTCATTGTTTGTTCGCTTAATGGCTGCCTTTTGGTTTTGGATCACTTCCAAAACTCATACAACTTCGTTACGTAACTAAGATCTATGTATACTAAATTACCTATACTCTAAAAATAACAATGAAAACAATGTCTAACCACCGATAGAAACGATCGAGGTTCGATTGTACTTAAACTTAGTCTTTTGTTTGATTCCAGTATCCCAGCGTTCTATTTTCATTAGCAACATGGCTCGTCCTCTTTCCCCTTCCCTTCCTCCCACAACCTGTCTATTCCCCAAGCTTATCTTCACCTTCCTCCTTTCTTCTTCTTTCTCTTTCTCGCAGTAACCATCTAATTGCTTTCGGGCCTTCCAGGAGTCAATATAACCTTTACTTCAAATGATCTCAGGGACCCCACATTTCCCGGAAATACCATAATTTTGGGACACCCTGTATATATAATAAATAATAATATATATTAATATTATGGTATTTCCGGGAAATGTGGGGTCCCTGGGGTTGCTATATATATATATATATAGCAACCCCAGGGACCCCACATTTCCCGGAAATACCATAATTTTGGGACACCCTGTATATATAATAAATAATAATATATATTAATATTATGGTATTTCCGGGAAATGTGGGGTCCCTGGGGTTGCTATATATATATATATATAGCAACCCCAGGGACCCCACATTTCCCGGAAATACCATAATTTTGGGACACCCTGTATATATAATAAATAATAATATATATTAATATTATGGTATTTCCGGGAAATGTGGGGTCCCTGGGGTTGCTATATATATATATATATAGCAACCCCAGGGACCCCACATTTCCCGGAAATACCATAATTTTGGGACACCCTGTATATATAATAAATAATAATATATATTAATATTATGGTATTTCCGGGAAATGTGGGGTCCCTGGGGTTGCTATATATATATATATATAGCAACCCCAGGGACCCCACATTTCCCGGAAATACCATAATTTTGGGACACCCTGTATATATAATAAATAATAATATATATTAATATTATGGTATTTCCGGGAAATGTGGGGTCCCTGGGGTTGCTATATATATATATATATAGCAACCCCAGGGACCCCACATTTCCCGGAAATACCATAATTTTGGGACACCCTGTATATATAATAAATAATAATATATATTAATATTATGGTATTTCCGGGAAATGTGGGGTCCCTGGGGTTGCTATATATATATATATATAGCAACCCCAGGGACCCCACATTTCCCGGAAATACCATAATTTTGGGACACCCTGTATATATAATAAATAATAATATATATTAATATTATGGTATTTCCGGGAAATGTGGGGTCCCTGGGGTTGCTATATATATATATATATAGCAACCCCAGGGACCCCACATTTCCCGGAAATACCATAATTTTGGGACACCCTGTATATATAATAAATAATAATATATATTAATATTATGGTATTTCCGGGAAATGTGGGGTCCCTGGGGTTGCTATATATATATATATATAGCAACCCCAGGGACCCCACATTTCCCGGAAATACCATAATTTTGGGACACCCTGTATATATAATAAATAATAATATATATTAATATTATGGTATTTCCGGGAAATGTGGGGTCCCTGGGGTTGCTATATATATATATATATAGCAACCCCAGGGACCCCACATTTCCCGGAAATACCATAATTTTGGGACACCCTGTATATATAATAAATAATAATATATATTAATATTATGGTATTTCCGGGAAATGTGGGGTCCCTGGGGTTGCTATATATATATATATATAGCAACCCCAGGGACCCCACATTTCCCGGAAATACCATAATTTTGGGACACCCTGTATATATAATAAATAATAATATATATTAATATTATGGTATTTCCGGGAAATGTGGGGTCCCTGGGGTTGCTATATATATATATATATAGCAACCCCAGGGACCCCACATTTCCCGGAAATACCATAATTTTGGGACACCCTGTATATATAATAAATAATAATATATATTAATATTATGGTATTTCCGGGAAATGTGGGGTCCCTGGGGTTGCTATATATATATATATATAGCAACCCCAGGGACCCCACATTTCCCGGAAATACCATAATTTTGGGACACCCTGTATATATAATAAATAATAATATATATTAATATTATGGTATTTCCGGGAAATGTGGGGTCCCTGGGGTTGCTATATATATATATATATAGCAACCCCAGGGACCCCACATTTCCCGGAAATACCATAATTTTGGGACACCCTGTATATATAATAAATAATAATATATATTAATATTATGGTATTTCCGGGAAATGTGGGGTCCCTGGGGTTGCTATATATATATATATATAGCAACCCCAGGGACCCCACATTTCCCGGAAATACCATAATTTTGGGACACCCTGTATATATAATAAATAATAATATATATTAATATTATGGTATTTCCGGGAAATGTGGGGTCCCTGGGGTTGCTATATATATATATATATAGCAACCCCAGGGACCCCACATTTCCCGGAAATACCATAATTTTGGGACACCCTGTATATATAATAAATAATAATATATATTATTATTATGGTATTTCCGGGAAATGTGGGGTCCCTGGGGTTGCTATATATATATATATATAATATAATAAATATAATAATAATATTATTATCATTATAATATAATAAATATAATATTATTATTATTATTATATTATTAATATATAATATAATACAATATAATAAATAATAATAAATAATCTCCGACACTCGGGCTCCGCCGTTCGGCTCCTTCCCTAACTGATTTTTAGTCGTTCGTAAATTAATTTTGCTACAACTTTCGTTCGATTTCCATCGTAGGAATTTCCACGTGTGGAACGAGGTGTGGATGCAGCGATTGGATTTGGCACCGGATTGCTCCGGTTGGCAGGTGATAGATGCAACACCTCAAGAACTCAGCGACGACGATACGTACCGTTGCGGCCCGGCCTCCGTCGCGGCCGTGAAAAAGGGCGAGGTGCTTCGTCCTTACGACAACGCTTTCCTCTTCGCCGAGGTAAACGCGGACAAAGTGTTCTGGCGGTACAACGGGCCGACGCAGCCCCTGAAGCTGATTCGGAAGGACGTGGACGGGTGGGTCTCGATTTTGATACAATTTACGCGGAACTTTCTTTACCTCGTTTCCACGTTCCAGGATCGGGCAATTTATCAGCACGAAGGCTGTCGGACGGTGGGCGAGGGAGGACATCACTCATGCCTACAAGTATCCCGAAAGTAAGCCTGCGGATATTCCTCTTAATCGTGTCTAATGCATTTGCGGATATACTGGCTGAACAAAATCGAGTAACGAAGATCAAGTAACAAAGATCGAATAACAAAGACCAAATAACAAAGATCGCATAACGATAATCATACAACAAGGATCAAATAATAAGGTTTAAATAATGAATATCGTGTAACAAAGATTAAATAATAAAGATCAAATAACAAAGATCAAATAACAGTAATCGTACAACAAGGATCAAATAACAAAGACTAAATAACAAGGATCGAATAACAAAGACCAAATAATAAAGATCAAATAACAAAGATCACTTTGAATATTTTACTTGTTTCTGATAATGTAAAAAACTGTCGAATGGAAATATTGTTTGGCTTTGACATTGTTTGCTAACCGTTTTCGATAAGTATCATCATGACAAAGAATGTAGCCAGCCATTTCTATCTATTTTTATCGCAAGTGCATAAGATTCGCGTCTGCAACCCCTAACACAGCAACCATTCTTTCCGCAGGATCGGAGGAAGAGCGGGCTATCATGCTGAGGGCGCTGCGTCAGAATCAATCCTCGTTCAGCCGGTATTACTTGAACGAGGAGTTTAACGACATTATGTTCGATTTCGAGCTTCGAGACGATATCGTGATCGGACAACCGTTCAGGTGCTTCTCGCATTTTTCATTCTCGAGGTGTATACATATACATATAACTTTGTCGATAAAACGAATCCCTGCTTTCGCGCTTCCAGCGTCGTGTTGCTGATGAAGAATAGAAGCCAGGACATCGAGTACCGGGTCTCCGTGATCCTGAGGGTCGAGACGGTGACGTACATAGGTCGGACCGGCGACCCGGTCAAGAGGCTGAACGTCGATCGTCTGGTGAGACCGGGAGCCCTCGAAGAAGTACGTCTGAACGTGACTTGGGAAGAGTACGGTCTTCGATTGATGGACCAGTGCGCGTTCAATATCGCCTGCCTGGCCACCGTCAAGGACACCAATTACGAGTACTTCGGCCAGGACGATTTCCGCGTGAGGAAGCCCGACATTAAAATCGTGGTACGTATTTTCGCACAATAGCCGGGGAAGCGGTTATTTCTGGCCAAAACGTCGATTTCTTAAATTTTATGTTAAACAAAATGTCTTCTTTCCTTCGAAGCGAGAACCTGTTGAAGCTTCAAAATCCAAAATATTAGTTCTTTTACTTTACGAGCCGGCATAACGTTATAAAAAAGAACAACTTCGAGTCGAAACTGAAATTAATTATATTTGTTATTCCTTATAGAATTTTAAATGCAAAGTGTCCAACACATTTTTGTACATGTCAACAACCACATATCATTTTGCATTTCATAGGAATTGTTTGACTCGTGAAGAGAAAATATCAAGTTTTTAACAATTTTTAATCATTTGAAATTTTAGAAAGCTTATAAAAAATTGATCAGAAGCGATAGGATATGGGGCATTATTTATATGAAAGTTCGCGCTATTATTGACACGCGCGCGCAACCCTTAAGCACAATTTCCTGCAATTTTGGATTCGACGCGTATTTTTTACAGGCGGACGTTCGAAATGTGACTTTCAACGATTTTTCACACATTTTCGACTAATTTATGTTTCTTGTAATCGACTGAAACAACTTTTACTTTCCATAATGATCCGCAGTCTAATAATAACGTTGTTAGGACCGACCCGTATATATTTTCGACTTTACAACATTGTAGGCTGGTGCCAAAAAACGAATTTAATGACCTGCTGCACGATAAACCATGTAACAACGTTAAAATAATTTTGCACCCGACAAACGAGTTTCCAGCCTACCGAGCAACGTTGCTCGGCCGCCTTCTCGCGAGCTGAAAATGAAACTCTGGACATGTTGGCAGATCGAAGACGAGCCGCGGGTCGGCGAAACGTTGCACGCCCGAGCCAAGTTCAGGAATCCGTTGCCCATACCGCTGAGGAAGTGCAGGTTCCTGATCGAAGGTCCCGGGCTGGTCGAGCAGCTGAAGCTGAAGCTGGCGGAGCCGGTGGAAGTCGACGCGGAGGCCGAGTGCTCGTTCTCCATGGTGCCGAAGTTCGAAGGTCGCGCCACGATCGCCGCGAAATTCTATTCGAGGGAGCTCGAGGACGTGGACGGGTTCATCAACTTCATGGTGAAGCCGGCGACCGCGAACGGCGAGTAACGCGGCCCAGCTTCTCCGAATGTACCAGCGTGCTTCCACAAAGATCGCCGAGTCTCGTAGTATTTATTTCTGTTACTCTGCACGCGGTAAATTCTCTCCGATCGTTCCTCGGTTTGTAAACGAAAATGAACAATTTGGCGGACTGTCGACGACAATGAAAAAGCAAACCGCGAGACTAATCGCATCCACAGTTCCTAAAATTCTCCATTTTCGTTCGCAAGCTGAGGAACAATTGCGGAGAATTCACCGTGCTTGGATAGCGTGCCGACGAGACGGCACTGCGTCGTCGCCGACGTCGACGTCGACGCGTGCAGCGGACGCACGGAGAGCGGCGGAGGCGACGGAACGAATGGCATACCGGTTCGGAACAGGCTTCTGCGTTCGGCCGCGATAAAAAATTCAATCGGCAGTGGACTACCTGAGCGGCGCGGATAGCTCGGACTACCGGCTACACGGTGCACGGTGCACGGAGCACGGTGTGCACGGTGCGATATTAACGAGCGGCAGCCGTGGACCGCTCTGCGTCGAACGCGCGATTATTCCGAATGGGAGAAGGACGGCCGCGGAGCGGATCGAACGGGAGGAGAAGACGGAGACGGCGATGATGAGACCCGGCGAGTCGCGACGATCGTGACGCGAGCCATGCATCACCATCTGGGAAAATTAATGGTGAAATATGGCGGACGACGAACGGCCGCGATGCTAGGAGCAGATCCGAGAGGAGGCTCGAACGAAAACGAGAGCAAACGGTTCGATGTTTCTCTTGGTATCGGCCGGATACCGGCGATGGCGAGATGGCGAGATGGCGATGGCGACCATGGTTCTATAGTCCCGTGGTATGCGCGCTCTCCGCTCTCGGAATCACTTACGGACAAGGTAATATTTTTGTGGCGGGTCTCTCGTCTCGATTACGGGGGAACCGAGGGGAAGGGAGCGCAACGATAAGCTGGTAGCAAGTGAAGACGAATACGAGGATCGTATAAGGAAGAAGAAAAATGGTAAACGAAAGGTCAGAGCCGAACGACAGGCACGGGAACGGTGGGCGAACGAGCGGAGAAAGAGAGAGAGAGCGCGAGAGGAAGAACGATACAGAAGATAGCAGTGAGATATGTCTAAATACATAACCGTGACACGTGATGGACGTGTTGCGGCCCCTGTCTACAGGGGTCTCGGACGAGAGAGAGAGAGCCCACAGGGCCCGTACCCGATCTCCATTTGGATCCACGGGATTCTGGACTCGGCACCCTGCTACGCGCTATGCATCAACACCCAAGATCCATCCCATTATACCTCATCAAAATAACAAACACGCCTTCCATGCTAAACCAACATTCTTTTGTTCCCATCGAATCCCAGGATCCATCAGAATCGCCGCGAACGGCGCGTCAGTGACGTATATGTTTTCGTGGAGCCGTGCCCGGTGGCCATAGGGGGTCCCGTAGGCCCGCGATGCCACGCAACTATCCGAGAAGATATCGTGAAATATTGTCCAATGGCGGGAGGTCGATCCAGCTTCCCGAAACTTCTTCAACTCCGAGTTTCAGATCACTGTTCGCGGTGGATAGCGGACCCGGTTACCCTCGGGTCATCGACGTTGCCGCGTTTGGCCTGTTTTTCGACGTAATTTCTTTTCCGATTAATAATATAATTCGGACATAGCTTTGTATTTATCGAATGAGACGTTGTGAAATGTTCGTATTCACAAATACACTGAATGAAGGAATAAAAAGATTCGGAGGCACAGGCGAATCCGGTCGATTCGCACAGTAACCGGCTTCGCTACCCTTGTCTTTCCTCGAGACATTCGCTCCGCTGCGATCGGTAGACTGCCTTTTTACGCAGAGACGAATTTTTATGCGATGCTAAAATTCTCTGCATTAATTACAAGATACGTAAACATTGATTTCTCTTCTTAAACCTCGGAGTTGGAGTTACGAAAGTTCTCTATCGAAACTCTGTCGGATCCATCAAATTCAAATTCTAATTTTACGACTGGCATCTCTAATCGTCAACCCTTTGCACTCGTATGACGACCTGGGGGCACCGGTACAAATTGCTACATCGCTTTTTAAAGTGATTTTTGCATTGTTAAGTTAGTTTATATTTAACGAGTTGTTAAAAGTGTAAGTACCGCGCGAGCAGAGAAAGAAAAATAATATAAAATCAAATAGCTTCGAGTGCAAGGGGTTAATTATTAATTTCAATCTCGATAAAATTGATTTGGAAATATACAGGGTATCTCAGCCGAAGGGGGCCACTTAAATTGTCTCTGTTATTATCGAGATACTTTCGGAGATTTCATGGTCACCTTCACTTTTTTAATCAGAATCATATAATTATGTATACATTAGTTGATGCAGTTCGACATTTTAATATAGTAATAATAATATATAAAAATGTTTGTAAATAGCGATCCGTTTGTTTGTATCGCGTATTCTGTACAAGTTAATGCACATATACGTAAGGGCAAAATCTGTCGGTAAAATATATCGCACAAAATACGCGTTCATATAACCGAGAGTCCGGTCGAACCGAGTATAGATAATAGAGGTTCGCTTCGAAGTTCAAATAACAGAGTGTCCGACCTCGAGCTGTTCATACAATAGAGTTTTTACTATAATATGTAAGTAGACTGCGGATGTTAATGCAAAATGAAACTTGTCTTTGTTAATTGCTAGATGCAGAAACTACATAAACGTTTCCTTTTTTTTAAATAAATGTAAAGAGTTGATAATGATGCAATAATATTTTCAAATTGTTTATTTTGCATTTGATTTATACATTCTTGGTATAAATGCATAAAATCCGCAATCTAGTAACAAGAAATGTTCGCCGTCGCCAAGTTAATAATTGTAACGAGTTCAAAAATCATCTAACGCCATTTCTAAATTTGTCAAATATTTATATTCTTTTCAGTTCAGATCATTCACCATTTAAATATTATTAATTAATATTTAGCGTACAATTTCGATGTTTACGACTGTTTCTTGCTTCCGTCCGTTTACAAGTTGTGCTTTTCGATGTCGAAAACGTGCTCTACAAGAACCAACAGAGACAGAAAACCCGTTCCATCCCTTAAACTAGCATTTCGGTTTCCATCCGCGTCTCTAGATGACAGCACCGCCCTCGATATCGCGCGCTGTGGTTCCCAAAGATTCGTGGATCCTCGACTTTTCGAATAAATGTATCTAAGAGAGGCGGGCATCTACGATTAAATTATTTTATGCGATTTTATTTTATATTAATTAAGACACTCTGCTTTCCTCCCCCTCCACCTGTCCCTCCATTTCACATTTTATCCAGTTTTTAACTATTTTTATTTTCTGATATCTTGTTTCAAATAATTACCAGACTGCGGATCTCTATGCGAAATAAGAATCGACAATCATAATTTTTAATCGGATTAAATACTTTTACTGGCTTTAATCATACCTAGTCATTTTTGTCATAAATATATATAAAATCTCGGTCTAGTAATTACCGTTAACTCAATTCTGTATTTGCCTTTAGTAGCAGCTCCTCTGCTCGATTTTTCATTCCTTACAGATCTTAATCGTGCTCTATAAATATTTCTAATTTAATAATTCTCATTTCCTCATTTATCCACCACTTTGCAGTTGACACTGCCATTTCTCCGACATTTACGCTTCTAATAGAATCAAAATCGCATCGATCTTCCATTTCGTTTGCGCAATATTTTTCAATTCCTTTCTCCGTATCTTCTTCTCTCAATTCCAGCTCTCTTGGAATGATATCAAAAATGAAAAATATCGCCTTCTACCTCTATTATTGAATCTTTGCACTCGGAGACATTTTAACATGTATTTCCATTTTCTGTTATTTACAATTAGTGCACTTTATGCAAATTGAGCCTTGTGACGCATACAACACTTTTCACAGCTTCGTAAATCTAAACAATTTTGGTAATATGAAAATTATTTTGGAACACGATGAAACAATTTTTCAGCGGTGCCTTGGAGTCACCACTCGAGTGTAAAGGGTTAAATTCCCGTGCGGCTCATCGATAACAGAATAATTTGATACTTCGACACGTTCGCGCGACGTAATAACACAAATAAAGAGCTGATAGATTTTATTATTATTATTTTACTGCACTGTCCATAAGAAGAGTATATACAAATCGTCGGACGTACAAATCAAGTTGAGCAGATAATTATTATTCAAATGTTCCATCTGTATTAGAAATAATGATAAATGCATTTTTACTACATTTTATTTTATCGTATTTTTAAAAAACCAACGTTTGTATAAATTTTGAACGTTTACATATTTTCAACGTAGCATTTCTGGACACCAAAGTTTATACGAATATTTTTCACCATTCGTAAGTTCGGTCACAACCTTTCTGTACACCCAGTATAGAAAAAAAAAGAAAACGTGCTTTGGAGATATTTTGCTATTTCATACCAAATAGTATTATCTGGATAATGCAATACTGACATAGGATCTTTACATGTATAAGGCAAAAGCATCGATCACCATATTATCAAATTACCAAAATACCATATCACCATAATTCACTTACCAAATAATTGGTACCAATAATAACCAAATAATAATTCAATTACCAAAATACCAAATCACCATAATCACAACATTAAATTGCTTTCTTCTTTAATCTTCGTTATTTAGACATATCTCGATATTGAATTAGCGACATGTGTATGTATCTCTCTACAGAAACTACCCCCGACATTCTATTTAGCAGCACGTTCGAGTCGTTATTTCTCACAAAATTAGCAGACCCGATTAAAGAGCTGGAAGAGTCGTAAGCGTAATAAAATGATTGCGACGTCGGTTTCATCGGATCGTGGACGATCGATGCTTCCCGGAACGGGGAAAACACTGAGAGAGCGTAGCGAGAGAAGATAAACGTAGGTGACAAACGAGCGTCGGCGAATAGGCTGTTCGCTGCTGGCGATCCGAATCGCGACCGTGATCACTGTGGACTGCCGAGTTTATGCATTTACGAGAAAAATGGTAAGCTGAAACACAAAATATGAAGAACATTAAAAGACTACTATTTCGAAAATAATTAAAACTGTCAACAGAAGCGACACGGTCTTATTCAATTCTTATTTCTCGAAATTGACGATGGAAACTTTTATTTTGCACAAAGATTCGCGGTCCAGCGATCACGATCACCGAAAACCGAAAATCGAATCGTGAAAAATCGATCCTTCGAAAATCGATTTAAAAAGAAAAATCGGACTTAAAATGCAATGCTTTAATGGCTCTTGAAAACCGATTTATAAGATCGCTGTACACTTCAGTTGTTGTCAATTCTTCATATTTTTCAAGCGAACGAATAAATATACCAATCTAATTTAAAGCTTTATAAGGAGCGTCTCGCATCATAAGCGACACTAATTGCTATTTCGATAGTGTTATAAATTTTGTACGCTCAACATTGGCTTGCTTTTCTAACATTGAAAATCTTGACTTTCGTTCATTAACCGATCATTCAAAGGCAATCAATTTAAGAAGACGGAACATCGTAAGTGGCAATAGTTAACAGTATCATGGTGGCTTTCGATCGATGATCGATATGCAATTAAAGCGATTGATTCGTTTCAAAATCGAATATCCAAGAATCGATAAAAAAAAATGTCGAAAATCGCTTCGATAAAATCGATTCAGCAGTCGTCCATCTCCACGTTGCAGTCGTCCATCCGATTGGCAGATCTTCGGTTTCTCCGTGAAGAGACGACGACGCGACGCCCGCGTCGCCGCGAGAGACGCCATCGCGGAGTTCGATGTCTCGTCGAGAAAACCGCGGGTAAATCTGCAAGCAAAGGACTCGCCGCGATATTTCCGGTCCGTGATTCGATATACTTACCTGCCTACTAACTTACGCACTACGGGCTGAAAGCCGGCTCCGCAGCGCCGCCGCCGGACTTAATTTCACGATTCGAAGCGGCGCACATCCAACCGCATGCACGTGTAAGTAATGTTTCCTGTCATCAGGAAAACTCTCTGCAGTAAAAGTCTCGGAATGGTTACGGGCTTCCCTTTTACGTTCCCGGACCTTTATTTCTCGCGATTCGTCCGCGCAAAACAGAAAGAGGGAGAGCGAGAGAGAGAGAGAGAGAGAGAGCCAGTCGCTCTAATTCTTGGCATTTATTTTCCACGCGAACAGCAACAGCGACACGACGACGTTCTCTCCGCCTCCGGCAAAGAGCGGCACGACAGAACGATAATTAGGGAGAACGGCGGTCGACGGGGAAGGGGTGGGTCGCCGGATACGCGAGAGATTCGCCCTCGAACGACCGGGCTATTCGTCGGTGAACCCGAGTGACATCCCTTGACAGTTCACCGTTTGCTTTTCTCTGTTTGCCAGAGGTTTCGCCCCGCTCGGTTACGTTCTATCCAAACAAGGGCCGAACGATTCGGTAACGAGGAGAAGAAAGGTCATTCATTCGGTGGGCGAGTCCAGCCCGGCGATTTGTCCCCGCGGACACAATGTCCCCGCAGATAGGACCCCGAGTCTTTTGTCGCTACCGCGGGCATCGACGCGCGGTGGTCCTTTTTGCCAAAATCTCGGCGATCCGACGCGCGCGATTCCGTGGCTGCGAGGAAATACGCCGCGTGCCACGTGTTTTCATCCCCCGAGATATTCTCGCTTCACCTTTCCACTGTCGCAGATCGCATTTTCGCTAAGGGAAAAGTTACTTCGAATAAGCCCCTCGGCTACCTACCATTTCCGTTTTGCGAGACATTTTTCGGACACCCTGTATACACGATACGTCCATTGTGTCTATTATAATCTACTATAATCTGTTATAATCTGGAAAAGGATCGTGAAAACGAATTGCGAAGACTCAAAAAATGAACGAACAAGGATACGTTAATAAGACAAGACAATCGGTGATCCGAAGTTTAATCTTTTCACTGCTGCAGGTCGCTATACTATTTTTTTTTAAAGAATTTTCACATTATTCAAGTTTGTATTCGATAAATCGTGATAAAATAGAAGCCTTCTATAAGCGAACACGTTCAATTCCCCGTGCTTCCAATACAAACAAACATTCGAAATGAAGATACCGTATGTTCGCGTGTCTTCGTTTTGGCGTTGAAATAGTCTCGAGCGCAAAGGGTTAACTAGGTTTTGAAATTAAGATCGTCGTATTAAACTGTACATTAAAATCTGTACAATTATAACCAAATATCGACGAATTAAAAAAACAAGACAAAAACGATATTAGACAAAGTATAGTCCTGGCGCGAGAAGAAGGCATCTTTACGTTTACATATTCCCCCTTTTACCAGCTGCCCCACTGCCGCAGCTATCGGTCGCTATTGGCCGACGGCGAACTTCGTCGTAGCTTTCGGCCAATAGCGATCCATAGCTGCGGTAGTGAGGCAGTAAGAGAGGGAATATGTGAACGCAAAGGTGCCGTTTCGTCGCGCGAAGACTATGTACCTACTTCTTCGTATTCGATATTGAATTTTGCACTTTTTGCACAATTTTGCGCTAAACGCAAATTCGGTATATAAATAAATATACCATAAATAAAGTATGAATAACGGCATAAAAGCCGCACGAATCGTTACGAATCCTGGCGAACTTTTTAGGAAAAGGTTCTTGTTTTCTTTTCTTCATTTTTGACAGAAGTCGAAGCGAGCGAATCGCCGCGCCGCGAGTACCTCCTACCTACGTCTCTTCTGGACGAGAAGAGCGGCGTGCTCGCGCAACCGTGGCATCGCATCGGTGTCGATCGTCGCGTCGATTTCGCATCTAATTTGCATACCGATCGGAGTCATTGTGCGCGCGGGCCGAACAGTTGCCACCCGGTGGCAGTATTTGCGGCAGGATTTCGTCCTCGTAACAGACAGGAGCGGTCGAGAGCCGACCGCTCCGGCAGTCCGCCTACCTCCGGTTAGGGTCGCCCCTGTGTATTCAGGGTTCGTAGGAGGGATTTCGAAGACGATACACCGCGCGTACCGCGCATCGCACAGGATGGGACGTGAAAAGGAAAAAAAAGGGAGCGGGAAATGCCGCGTCTGCCTCATTACGCATGCACCCCGTCCGGCAAAAAGGATCCGTTCGGCCGTCCGATCGACGGGCCCATCTTTCCCTGCAACGTTTTGCGATGGCGCTCTGTACATTGTACTTATCCGAACAATTGTTTTTACAATATTCCGGTATGAAAACGTTCCATTAACGCGTCGAGCGCCGCGTCTCGGTCACACCGTGGCCAGGGCTAGG